ATACACGCCACTGTTCTCCAAAATGTAATGAAAATGATCTAAACTGAAGGCCAAATATTGTGGACAGCAAACGCATTGTTGAGTACAAACATTCTAACATATTTCGAACCTTAAAAGTGAAAGGAAGAAAGAGGTCTTGTACTAGTCGATCGCTGTTCCCGGACTATCCGTTATTCGGCGTGAATAGAAATTAACCGCTGAAATTGGCTGGCTACTACATCGTACGACTTTCTTGACCGGACATCAACAACAATCAAAAGCTGTTTGGGACTGCGATCACCTGATGAACGGCAGGAAAAATACGAAGCGGTCACGGGCTATCGAGGAGTTTCTCTCAGCCCTATAAGTAGTGGATTACGCTTCCCAAACTCTTTAGGAGGTCTCCTCAAATTTGGACGGTGTCCGCCCCTCAAAACTGTCCCTCTTAAGTTAGCTCATAAGATTTTTAACCGACCCACATAGTAGTGGCGAAGGAAGAACGACTTGACCAAAAGCCTACAGCCCCTAAAAGCAACTTCAGTTTTTTTTCGCCATAAAGTGAGGCGTCTCACCAAACAGTATGATGATGATCTTGTCTAAATGCACCTCGTAGCAACGTCCTACAATATTAGTAAAGACATTGGGAAGACTCTTCCAGGAATACAGAAGCCTTATTGTGGAGTTTCTCCTCGCATCATTTTGCTTCTCCCTTTGGAGGGGGCACAGCCACACAAAACTGCAAATGTTTGTAAGTAACTCGAACCATTGGTCTCCCATAGGAGGTTCTCGTGTGATTATCTGACCTGAGGAAAAGGTAGTTATATGCATACCCATGCTGTCCTTCTTAGTAGTCCTTCAGGCCTCCACCTTTCTACTCCAGCGATTGTAAATCCAGTATACAAGAGGGATTTTATCCTGTGAGTGAAGCTGAGAACTCGAGTAGTACTATAAATCCATTTTATCCTTGTTGAGAATCATCCACACTGCGTGTCTCATCAAACACCGGTTAGTACCGGTCCCGTGACATTCTGGTTGAACACTTAGCTATTTGGAAAAGAGTGGCTGAACAGCAGTGTGATTAGGTCTCACTTAGACAGGACAGAGCGCCACTAATTATCGGAAATCATATCAGGTGATCACGTGATAACGGGAATTTGGGTAACGATTTCTTCGGAAGAATGTTCATGCGTACAGCAAAATCATCCTTACTGTGAGCTTATTATTAGATCGTGATCTTCACTCGGAAAGAAGAGACCAATTTAAAGGAGGTTTTCCAGTTATCATGTCTAATGGGATAAGGTTAGCCTAAAAACCATTCGTGGTATCCATGTCATCATAGATTGAGCGTTTCAACTTCGGGCCTGGCAAGACTATGCTGGTTAATGAGGGGCGAGTTTCCAACAGTACACCACCCGAAGGCGGCCATCTGGACTGTGAATAAAGTGTATTGCTTTCAGATCCGCCGGCACATCTTGGCAGGTCTCGTCCTGTAAGCAAAGCCAACCTATGCCGAAAAACCAAAAAGCACTGTTTAGTGGTCCGACTTTCATTCAGCCCCACGAACAGTGCGCCCCTTCGTAAAGAATCGACTCCGCAAATTCCCTGCTGGTGACCGTAGGGAGAATTTCACAAAAGGTAGAATAATCCCCTAGACAACGGAGCCTGCAATCTGAGAATCCTCTATTGTGACCAGCCACGTGACCCATTGATGTGAGATACCTGACCAGTTGAACTGCAAGTTTGTCAACTATCGAGAGACCGAGAGTTCCAAACTCTCTCGAGTTTCATCAGGTAAGTTCTGTTCATGATTCCCAAAGAGGACGAAAAAGCTGTAGAGTTCTTGTTAAGTTTCAGCATAGACCTGCGCGAGTAACAAGATGTAATGTAGATGGCTATTTCGAACTCTCATCACTTTGTCAAAACACTTCAGAGAAGATCCGAGTTATCACCCTACTGGTGATACGAACGATTTTTTGTGGTTTTCTTGGATAGATGGGCAAACAAAATCATGCGCACTGCCGCACTTGGTTCCAACTAAGCCTTTTGGAACAAGCATTGGGGACAAAAATGAAACGATCTTACCTTTGTTGCTACGAGTGAGACTTGGTGGGGTCTTTCAAGGCATCCGGAAACTAGTAGCCGGGAAGTCGCGACTTTATGATGTTTCTTGGGATTCGCCCTGCTGACGATTCCTAATAAGGGCGAAACATCTCGGCTATTCCGCGTAGATGAGCCTTACTTACACGACTAAGTCTTCACCAGAGTTCCCGAATCTCCTCACACTACCGACAGTCTTTAGGTAGCTCTGAGGAAGGACAAAATTCACCCGATGAGTGAGTGAGCTGTTGCTCAAGATGTCAAACTGTATGGATCCCGCAGCCGAAAATAGGTTGCGCTATAAACCGTTTGAGTGCGAGTTACTCACGCTGCTGATCATCCGCTCGTGACCGAATGGCTAAGAAATCAAACTTGTACCCTGGAGATTGCGTGTTGGCGACTCCGTGGAGTTTCGTGCGGTGCAAGCTGCTGATGATTGCCAGTAAGGTCAAGACAGCTGTCCAAGGGCATGCCCTGTTGCGGCATTGATGGAGCCTTCATCTTCAAATTCGGAACGTTTAAATCCTGACACCATCAAGCATGACAACTACTCGGAAACACGTAAAAGATCTAAGGTAATATGAGAAACCTCGGTAATCTTCAGCTGGGAGTTCGTCTTTGGAGTGAGGGTGAGAAGAACATTTTCATCCCTGTTTGGAAGCATCAGCAGAGCGGATCCCAAAAAACTGAACCGTTTGGCCAAGGGCGGCTGAACAGTAATGTGATTAGTTTCGTACAGGAAATTACTCACAAAAATGCTGAAAACTCTTCGACAGCCCACGACCGGTTTCGCCCTTCCAATTCGGGCTCAACAGGTAGGCTCAGTCCCCGAGTTTCCGTCAACCTCATGTTCTACTTGAACCCAAATTGGACTGTTTTCGAGAAATACATTCATTCGCAAATCAATTTGGTTTTAACGAGAGACTTAACTGAATCTTTCGTTTGTGATATTCTACAACTGAATGTGCTGCACACAGGCCACCTCATGATTCATTTGGCACGATATTCGAGATATCATAGTATATTTTCATGGGGGAACTACTCACAAGGTTGCTGAAAACCCTTCTACAACCCACGACCGGCTTCGCCTTTCCAGTTTGGGCTCATCAGGTAGGCGCAGTCCCCAAGTTTCCATCAACCTCATGTTCTACTTGAACCCAAATTGGACTGTTCTCGAGAATGTGATTAGCTTTTCGTTGGAAGGGATAGAGCGCCAATCATTATTCAACCACAGAAACAACGTCACGTGTTCCCGTATTGAAAGGAACTCTCCTCGAATGACGACTAATCTAAGGGTAATTTCACACATCATTTGAAATTATTCTTCCTCTGAGCAAACTACTGATCGAGTGATTGATTGATTGATTGATTGATTGCGGTTTGAGGAAATTGGCTGAATTTTAATCAAAAGTCATATCCAATGAATCCCTTTTTCGGTGTGAACCAACCAAAATAGCCACGCCTGAACAGAAAGCGAGAGTTCCATGCAAAGCCATGTAGTTTAGAGAACCCAGTTTCCCCATACGTCATTTACCCCTTCAAATTTCACCTCTTTACCGGACTGGTTGATACGATCTCTAAGGGGGGTGCTGTTCAGAGGCAATTCATTAAATTCTGATTGACGTTTTGCATTTTTGGTTTGTGACCTGTCTAATAAGCAGTCGTTTCCCACCGTGCGCCAAAAAAGTACGATGATGCACTGCACTCTATTGGTGATAACAGAATGCCCCCCCCCTCTCCGAGAAACACTGCACTGTGGCTTCAAAGTGACATGACCAAATCAGATCCAATGCCATCTGTATTTTCAACCGTTTTTAACCTCGTTGCGGCCGTGACGTGTGCCGTTGGTGCGGTTGATCGATATCCGGTGCTGATAAGCCACCTGTTTGATCTCTCCGTAAAGTATAACAAATCAAACCTCAGTCTTAGCGAAATGCATTCCTTTGCTAAAAAAAATTCGGTTTTGTCAGGGAACTCAGCTGAATCTCTCGTTTGTGAAGTTTCCAGGCAACTGAATGTGCTAAACCATGTCGCCTCATGTTTCAGTCGTTTCGATATGCGAGATATCGTGATACATGTATATTCGTAATACACTACTCATAAGGTGCCTGAAAATTCGTCGAGAGCCCATGACCAGTTTCGCCCTTCTTGGGGCGCATCAGGAAGTTGCAGTCCCCGGGTTTCCGTCAACCTTATGTTCTACTTGAAACCAAATTGCACGAAAACGGTGCATGCAGTCATTTCCAAACTAATTTGGTTTTGCAAGAAATTCACCTGTAACTCAGCTGAATCTCTCGTTCATGATATTTTTAAGCAAATGAATGTGCTGCACCAGGCCGCCCCATGTTTCACTAGGTACGATTTTCGAGATATCGCGATACATGTATCGATGTAAGATACTACTCACTAGGTTATTGAAAATTCTTCGACGGTCACCCACCACCGGTTTCGTCCGTCTTGGGGCTCATCTGGTGGGCTCAGTCCTCGAGTCTCCGTCAACTTTATGTTCCACTTGAAGCCAAATTACACGCCATTGGCGAAGAACACTCATTTGCAAACAAAAATTTGGTTTTGCGAGAGACTCAGTCTGCCCAGAATAAACAGTCTCGTTAGATTTCAGTTTATCAGTTTGATCGATTAGAATTTGGAAATGAGGCCTGCTAATTGAGTTCTGAGAGGGACAACCTCGAAGTGGACTGCGAAGACCCTATAAGTAGCATATTATGTGTTGCTCCTAATTTTTGACACGAAATATCCAATCGACTAAACAAATTGTTCAGAGTTCTAGCGACCCCAAGGTGAAGTCTACCTCATCCGCTCTATTCCAAACCCACTGTACAACGATAAAATTACCGACGCCCCATTGACGAAGTAGTGAGGTCGATCGGTATGACGTAATTCATTCTCAACTTCCAAGTCCTTACCTTATTTCTTCGTTAAAAGCTTCAAGTGTCGTCCCCGACGTGCTTGGATCCGCTTGACACGAGGCATCAATGAGCAACTGCATTACCAAATTGTCAATGGGGATAGAAATGTCAAGGGTGACGTCACTTTGGCCGACCATAAACTGTTCCACCATGAGACGGAATTTGGGCGAAATGTCTGCAAACAACTGCGTACAATTGGACGGAGTGGAGGAGCGGTGTCGGTTTCGTTGACCACAAAGGGTTTTGTTCAACTCGACCCCGAACAGCTCCAGTGCTTGGAAAATCTGGTCTGCGGAATAAAGGAACACAAAGGAGGGTTTAATACAACTTCCAACCGTTAGTAGTTGGAAACCAAAGTAAAGACTCGGGTCGTTCTATCCCCTCCAAAACCAATTTGTTTAACCGAAATGGTTCGAGATCTCTGTTCCATGCCAGCTTTTTGTCAGCTGTAGAATGCTCCGGGGGATCAATTAGTAGGATGAACAGCCAAAAAGTCACTTTTTTGGCTGCAACGAAAGTACACCTTAACGCGAGTCTTAAATCGCGGAAATCAGCGACAGTAAAAAACCGTCTTAAACCTCGAGAAATACACTCATTTGCAAATTAATTTGGTCTTCATGGGAGACTCAACTAAATCTCTCGTTTACGATATTCTACAAGTGAATGTGCTGCACACAGGCCACCCCAGGGATTCAGTTGAGTCTCTCGTGAAAACCAAGTTGATTTGCAAATGAGTGTATTTCTCGAGGTTTAAGACGGTTTTTTACTGTCGCTGATTTCCGCGATTTAAGACTCGCGTTAAAGTGTACTTTCGATGCAGCCAAAAAAGTGACTTTTTGGCTGTTCATCCTACTAATTGATCCCCCGGAGCATTCTACAGCTGACAAAAAGCTGGCATGGAACAGAGATCTCGAACCATTTCGGTTAAACAAATTGGTTTTGGAGGGGATAGAACGACCCGAGTCTTTACTTTGGTTTCGTGCTGCGCAAGGTCGCCTCATGATTCAGTTGTTGGTACGATATTCGAGATATCGATATCGAGATATTCATAAACCTCAGCCAGCACATGGAAGTGTAAACGCACCTTTTGGTAGCACGGGATAGTGAACGTAGACCATTTCGAAGATGGTCGAATCACTCGGATCAAGACTGTTCAAACTGTATACTCCAGGAACAGCCTAAGGAACTACCAGTTATCTAGAAAGTGTGTAATTTGGAGATGTTAACATGTGACCTCTTCGGAAACTCGACCCATGACCTGCACTCCCTATTCAGTATCGGCTTTGGGTGGCAGACACAACACTTGGTACAGTTCGTCTTTTCACTCGGTTGCGGTGCGTGCATGTTCAAGAAACCATTAGGCGGGTGTCAGTTTTGCAGCAAACTCAGTAATATTTGCGCGGGGCGGGGGTAACAACAAGTGGTTTTTGGTCGCATCTGTCACACGGTTCCCTCCATAGAGTGAAATTTCGGAAACGAAGCTTGCTTGGCTTACTGAAACACCAGGTTTGAGTCCGAAGGCAAAGTTTGAAGCCAGCTGCGAACAGTCGTTAATTTGTAGACTGGCTGATTGCATCACTGCAGACGTCTTTTGCTAAGCTTTCACAATGGCCAGATGGGGTAAGTTTAGCGCCGAATTAAGACGCCACGCAGTCTCGGTTTGTTTACCCTCTTTCGCGATTTGGTGAAGCCTAATGGGAGGACGTGGTCGGCTCAATCAGGAGGTTGTCGCCGATGATAGGGAATTCAGGGGAGTATTTGTGCTTGAAAGCAAACAGAAAGTAAACAATATTACATTGAAAGGGGTCGAAGCCCATTGAAAAGGTGACCGCCGTGTTCGTGTTCGGAATTACCGCAATACGGTCTGGTTCAGGTAAGGCTGGAGAAATTCCCATGGTCTCTGTTCAGACGTAACACATTTCCCATAAGGTTGCTGGAAACATTTCGGCAGCTCGTGACCAGTTTTTAGCTCTTTCGGGGCTCACCAGGTAGGCGAAATACCGGCGTTTCCGTCAACCTTATGTTTTGGTTGAAACCAAATCAAACAGTTCTGGACATACGCTCTCTCAAGAAGAGCGAGAACGGTCGTATGCTGTCAAAAGGTTTTCAGCGACCTCGTGAGTAGTACGTTGTCTATGGTTTGCATAGACAGAGCAGACCGTCTTCATTTGGGGCCACCCGACAGAAAGAACGTAGTTTGTTTGTCTCACTGCTTTTGAGATCGGGTATATCATAGAGCATCGGTGTTGAATATGGATGTCATGCTGTCGATGAAGATGATGATGATGATGACGATGATGATGATTATGATGATGATGACGACGACGTCGTAGAACCCAATGTCAACACTTACACGCAAAACACATAACATTGTTTCAAAGAGAAGGACATCAACAAACGTCTTGAATGCTTTTGCGCGGACGTTGTGTGGTAAACCGATTTTGATATCTGTTGGCCCTGAGTGAACACTTCTCAGCTGGCCATGATCACGTTCCACAAGCATGATACTGGCTTCTTTCACCTTGTATGTGAATGCACGTCAAATTGCACAATGAAGTCGCCTGTCGGGAAAGTACACATGCCTGTGGAGTCTGGTCTCATATTTAGTCCAGGGTGACCAAAAACCTTTGCGCATGCCTCCTCGAGAAGGATTATAAGAACGCTTTTGTAATAGCGTCGTATCGCATAAGCACAAACACTATCCACGTCAGAGCAGCGAACAATTGTTTTTTGTTAGAGTCAACTTACCTCTCTTTGCCGTACGCATCGCCGATATTTCAGTCATCCCCCGTGCAAAGTGGTTGGACAGGCCTTCTTGTAGTTCGTCCACTGTCCGCCGTAATAAAGACAATTCGAGTTCATGCGAGCAGCATGTTGTCCATCGGGTGGCAGATGGTGGAGCGCAAAAACTGGAAAGACCGGAGACAGATTGCACTCCCGACGTGGCTTTATCAGGTGATTGTGGTTGATCTATACTCGAGGGGTCCAACGTAGAAACCGTCCACGAGGAGTGAAATTTGTTGCGTTCAGCCGGGTCCTGTTGGCCGAAGGACGATGCGCGCTGAACCTCGACTGTTTTGTATGGCGAAAGAGAGGGTAGAAAATCAATAATAAGGTAGCGCGGGAACAAAATGCTTGAACAAACTAAACTTGTCATCTAACTTCCTATTGGTTTGATTACTGACTGAATTCTATGGACGTTTTCCGTCAACTGAACTCCACTGAGAATGTGACCTGTTGTCTCAGAGAAGAGCATACAATCTCCGCTGAAAGGTCTAGAAGCACTATACAGCTGTTTTAGTGTGCATATGACGAAACTTCAGTTGGGAGATTCAAACCGGGTACCGCCCTTCTTTCGGTTTGAACAATTCACCTAGGGGCTAATCAGTAGTGTGATCAACTCGGACAAAATGCACGACCACTATTTCGTCAATCACAAAAAGCCAAATCATGTGACCACGATGTTTTTGATTGGCTCCTAAGGTGAGCTCTTCTCAGATGGAAGCATCACTCGTCCAGTGATTTCCACTTCATTTGAGCTACGTATAGATTGTAGGTAATGTGGGGAGTTTTGAAAATTTAGGTAGATTCCTTCCTGTGAATGAAGCCTAGAACTGAAGTCGAACAACGCTATTTCACCTTTATTGGGAATCATCAACAGTTTATACCTCACTAAAAAGAAGACAGTGTTTCCACCAAACCGTTAGGCGTTCAGGCTACTAACCGAGTCAAAACGGTTCAGCACAATTCACAAACCTTCGAATCGCTCAGGCGTGAATCATGTTGAAAGTTTACGCGTGATAATTCTGGTGTGTCGGACGTCGGTCGATGAAGGACTGGGATTCAAATACTGCACGGATCTGCACTGTCGCCGAGTTCCAAGTTTATTCTGCTTCTACCGTGTTAGTCACCATCTTGTTCAGGTAACACTAAAGTGACACGTAACTGAGAAGAGGTCCTACAGTTTTCAACCGAATTACCAAATGTGTGTTCTTGTTTGAAACTAATGTCACGTGTCCGGGGTCAAATCCAAGCACGGCCATTGGATATGCACTGCTAATGAGCTCTAATCAGAGCGAACCTCGAGTCCAGTGCCTCCCTTTGGTGTGAACTCACCAGAATAAGTACGCCAGAACAGGTGGACGACCGTTCAAACGAGAGTGGTGTGACTATGAACAGAATTTGAAACTGTTTTGAATGAAGCAACCGTACAAGAAAGTTTATTCAAAGATTCGTATGTCGCTTTTTCATGACGAAATAATTATCGAACTAGTCTCTGCTGAACAAAAGGGTATACCTGAACTTCCACTTTGTTGACAAGGTGGCTTGCTGAGTTTCTTACAACTTACTGAGAAGCTTTTTGTTCATCTGGTTTGGACCAACGTCTAGAATAGAAGTCGCCACTGACAGAACCGGTACGATCAGCTTCGATGTTCGGCTACATACACTTGGCGCTGTTCTAAAAAGCCTAAACTGTACAGCGCTCGTCCGCTCAGCCCATTTGTGCTACGTTTGACAAGATCTGTCAAGTTCCGGTGTACTTTTTATCTAGGTTAGTTTATTTGTGACCTTTTCAAGACAACCACCTCCGGCTCCCGACGGTGGCAGCTAAAACACCAATTCACTCTTCCAGTAACATCTTGGAGACTTTATTCTGGCTTGGCTTTATCTTGACCTATTTGCGTTCCTACCCCCTGAACTGACATTACCGAAAGGCATTCGGAAATCAGTAGTTTAGGCAGCAGAACTATGACTCCTCGCTTAGTAGTTCAAAAGACTCTCCATCATTCATTAGTACTTATCATGTTCCTGATTTTGATGGCCGGGGTGGGGGTTGATCGATACGAAACAGTCCTCCTTGGTTAGAATGTTTGGGTTTCGGGATATCGACCATCTGAAAAAGTCCAACGAATCCCATTTCATGTTCACACGGTTAAATGCATCTCGTTCTGACGGTCTCAGTTGTTTGTATCTTCCAGAATGAGGTTATCAGTCCTCTTAGTGGTTTTCACAGACTTACCGAGCCGCTCAGGTGTGTCCCAAGATGTGACAGAATATCAGCCAGTGACCTCATCAACTTTGTGATCAATATTCATGGTAACCATGGTTCTCAAGATTACCTTACGATGCAATTAGCTATCGAACCTTTCTGCAGTCTTCAGTCACTTGGAACCTGGCCAATGTGTAGACCTGCTCACTTGACTTGATGAAGCTTTATGTGTCCAAAACGAAACGTCGCCGAATTGAAAACTACCGACTGTTTATCAAGAACCTGAAACGAAATTTCTTGAAGTCCGTTCTTACCTGATTGTACTACAATTTTTGATGGTGGGCCCTATTCGGCCCTATTCAGGGTGTTCTGATGCATGCCTACTGGTGCAACGGTGATACTACTGATGGGGAGGCCTGCGAGTCGTATGTTTTTTCCTGTAAATTGGCCTAGCGTCTCTCGAAAAGGGAGATCTGTTGCGGAATTTGTGGAGTCGCTTTGTAGCATTTGCTTGGATTTGAGCAACAACCAATGAATATCCAGGAAAGTTCAGGAAGGCGCGTTCAGGAGAAGATGGATGTTCAATTTTTGTAAATAAGATTCGTATGGGAGTTTTGCTTCCCTGTCCAATAGTCTGTAACTGGTCAGTTGGTATTTTCTAATAACCAACTCTGCAGCAAAGGCCTTCTTCCTCTCGCTGGTAGTTGGGATGCGAGATGGCTCAGAATTTCGGGGAATTCGGGCTTAAGTAGAACATTGGAATGACGGAAACCTGGGGACTGCGCGAATACGATGAGTCCAGAGAAGGGCGAGGCTATCAAGATATTTTCAGCAACCTTGTGAGTTGTGTGTTACGTCCATACATGCATCGCGACACATTGTAACAACTGAAACATGAGGTGAAATGTGTGCAGTTGATGAACATCACAAAGAAACAAGTGATGCTCTTAAGTCCCTGGTGAAACCTCAGTTGATTTGCGAATGTATTTGTCGAAGTTGGATTGCTTGCTTGGAGTGGAGCGACAAACTATACATGGAGTCAGTTCAGATGAACGGCTGAAATTTAACGTAGTTTGGTCAACTCTTTTGCGAATAGATTGCTCTTCCGTACCGAGGTGTTGTAATCCACAGAGAATGTACCTGGAGGTTTTGTATCCACTGAAATGTTGGTCCTTTCGGTGAGCTCATGAATGAATGATCAGCTAGCAATGGACTTGTGACGCACTACTCATAAGGTCGCTGAAAATTTGTCGGCAGCCCACGATCGGTTTCACCCCTCCAGTTTGGGCTCATCAGATAGGCGCAGTCCCCGAGTTTCCATCAAACTTATGTTCTACTTGAACCCAAATTGCACGAAATTAGCGATATCTCGAAGGTCGTAGCGACTGAAACATGAGGCGGCCTGGTGCAGCTCATTCAGTTGCCTGGAAACATCACAGACGAGAGATTCAGTTGGGTTTCAGGTCAGTCACTCGAAAAACCAAGTTAGTTTGCAAATGAGTGTATTTTGCTAGCTTCTCAGTGTTTCGTCACCATCTGATGTGACACAATCAGTGCGCGGATCATGACGTCACTGACGCGCGTCAATGTGCAGCGATGTTGAAGAAACGTTTGCAATCCAAGACCGCTGGGCAGACCAACGGTTGCCTGACCACTCATCAAAAGTGCGCGGTTTGACCACCTGCTCGTCACCTTGATGTTTTTCGGACCACCGTAAAACTGTATCTGTGTCTAGCATCACTAGAGTCTGACTACACCGACTAAGAGGAACTTTTGGTTTAATCCTGACCACAATATTTCAGTAAGTTTCTCTTAGACATGAAGGAGACTACAAAGTTGCTGCATGGAGAGCTCTGTCTCACTGAGAAGCTCGAACAATGAAGCTTGCTCAGTTTGGAGCTTAAAATATTCCTGATGCCACTGGAACTTCATTTTTGGTTAGCCTTTTCTATCGGACTTCCTGGCGTTTTTGACGAAAACCAGGATTTCACCTTCCGTTCAGTCTAGTCTAAACTGTCCTCATGTTGCCGGAAGTGTTTCGGTGAACACCCGCCACTGAATGCGGATTTCACTCTCATTAGAGCTTATCAGTAGTCCATATCCTTGGCTGTGTAGGGGTTCGAACTCTGAACCTCTGAGAGGCAAGCATGTACAGACTTGAGGTACATCCAGCTTGTTCTGGGGAAGTACTGGTAACACTCTTCCGTCGCACGTCAGGTGGGCTGGTGAGGTCGTTTAGGAGCAAAACTCAAGTCCAAAAGATTCCCCTTTAGTTTGGTCTCACCGGACCAATGGAGCCAAAACGGGAGGGTAATGACTGTTCAAACGAGAGTCACGTGAATGCCTAGAAGAAAAAATGAGATGTCTGGACTCAATTGGAAACGTTCCAAAATGACATACGGTTGACAGCTAGAAATTCCAGTAACTTATCCGACTAACAATTAATATTCGGTAACTACGACACGGAATATTCTGGGCCATAGTAACTGGAAGATATATGACTATGGTTCACACAGCTTGGATGTCTCCAGCTAAAGCTGTGGGCTCGATTTAGTGTTCAGACCTCTGGCGACTGGAAGAGCGCGGGTTCGAATCTTCCTACCAAAATTCGCCTTTGCTATATAGGTGATAATGCCTGACTGTGGTAAAAAGAGACCAGCTGCAGACTACTATGTGGCTTTCATTCACCGGTCGCCTTTACTTACAGGATGAAATATCAGTAACCGCATTCAATCTATAAATGTTTAAGCAAAATTCTGAATTGACGTGCTAATTGAAACCGTGAAAATTTGGAGCTTTCCAGTAGTTTTTGAGGAGTGTTCACTTGGTTTATGAATCACGTTCACTAAACGACTTGTTTTCACTCCATTCGGCGTCAGAGAACCATCGCTATTCCATTTGGCGACCAACTACTCCACTATCGGTCTACATATGTACAGACCGCGCGTTTGCCTACTTTGATCTGTTTTGTTCGGTGAACCACCGCAGTCAAAAATTGTCCTGCCGAAACCAGCGTTTGCAGCCTTTGCGTGTGTTTGTGGTGTCATGATAGCTGGACAACGAGACTGACAGACAGATGGGG